AAGAGCAAAACTCTGTCTTTAAAAAAAAAAAAATGAACAAGAGGGAAATCTACCCCCATGTTCCAATCACTTTCCAGCAGGCCCCTCCTCCAACGCTGAAGATCGTAATTCAACATGAGATTTGGATGGAGTCACAGAGCCAAACCGCATCAGGAACACGTGCAGGTTTATTAGGCATTTGGTAAATTTTTGTCCAACCCTTTTAATTTTAGCCTTTTGCATGAATGTGTTTTAAGCATGTCTCTTGTATGCAGCATAGTGCTGGGCTTTGCTTTATGAGGCAATGTTAAACCCTTTTTATTTTATTTATTTATTTTTTGATTGTATATGTTTTTATTTTATTATTCACCTAAATATTGCTGACCCATCGACAGAATAGCCCAGCCAGACATATGTAATAGTAGTAATTAAATGCAGTTGTCTTTGATACTTTGCTGACTTTACATGGAAAACGTAGCTTTTACATATTTTTAGGTTTTTTTCATTTTTATTTTTCAGTTTCTTTTTTATTTCAGTAGGTTTTGGGGAATGGTTGGTGTTTGGTTACATGAATAAGTCCTATAGTGGTGATTTCTGAGATTTTGGTGCACCCATCACCCAAGCTGTATACCCAATGTGTAGTCTTTTGTCCCTCACCCCCCTCCTACCCTTTCTTCTCAGTCCCCAAAGTCCATTGTATCATTCTTATGCCTTTGTGTCCTCGTAGCTTAGCTTTAATATTTTATTAAAAATATTATTATTATTATTTTAAATAAATAAAGATGGTGTCTTCCTATGTTGGCCAGGCTGGTCTTGAACTCCTGGCTTCAAGCAGTCCTACCGCCTCAGCCTCCCAAAGTGCTAGGATTATAGGTGTGAGCCATCACATTTGCCCCCCTTTTTCTTGTAATAAGTGAATTAAGCCCATTTGTATTTATTCACATTACTGTTAAGCTTGGTCTCAGTTCTCTCATTTTATTTTATGTTGTAATTACTGTGTGTATATATTACATTTACTGTATTTCTTTCTCACTCTCTCTCTCTCTTTTTTTTTTTTTTTTTTGAGACAGAGTCTCACTCTGTCACCCAGGCTGGAGTATAGTGGCACAATCTTGGCTCAATGCAACTTTGACCTCCCCAGTTGAAGCGATTCTCCTGCCTCAGCCTCCTGAGTAGCTGGGATTACAGGCACGCACCACTACACCTGGCTAAGTTTTAAAATTTTTAGTAGAGACAGGGTTTCGCCATGTTGGCTAGGCTGGTCTTGAACTCCTGACCTCAGGTGATATGCCTGCCTGGGCTCCCCAAAGTGCTGGGATTACAGGTGTGAGCCACTATGCCCAGCCGAAACATGATTGACTTCGATGAGTTGACTTTGTGTCCTGCAGTCTTGTTAAGAGCTTCTTTGTAGATTCCTTGGGATTTTCTACATAGACAATCATATTGTGTGAGAACAGAGACAGTTTTATTTATTCTTTCCAACCAGTTATATGCCTTTTATTTCCTTTTTCTTGCCTGATTTCACTAAAGTAGGACTTTGAGTAGGATTTTGATTTCAAATAGGATTTGTAAAAGTGGACGTCTCTCGCCTTTTTCCTGATCTTCTAGGGAAAGCATTCAGTCTTTTTCATTACGTATGATGTCAGCTGTAGGTTTTTGGTAGATGATCTTTAGCAGGTCAAATAAGTTTCCTTCTATTCCTACTTTGATGAGAATTTTTGTCAGGAATCAATGTTGAATTTTGTCAAATGACTTTTCTGTATCAATTGATGATTGTGTGGTTTTTCTGTTTTAGTTTCTTAACATGGTGGATTATATTGATTGATTTAAAAATGTTCAGCCAACCTTGCATACTCTGGATAAACACCAACTGATCATGCTATGTGTTTACATATGTTGCTGGATTTGATTTGCTAATATTTGTTGAGGCTTTTAACTTCTATGTTTATAAGGGATATTGGACTGCAATTTTCTTTTCTTGTCATGTCTTTGTCTGATGTTGTAATCAGGATAATAATGGCCTCATAAAATGAGAAGTGTCCTTGTCTAGAAAATGGAAGAGGAAGGATTGTATAGAACTGATGTATTCCTTAAATATTTGGTAGAATTTACTAGTGAAACTATCAAGGCCTGGGAATTTCTTTTTTGGAAGGTTTTAAACCACAAATTCAGTTTCTTTAATTGATATTCCATTCAGTTGTCAGTTTCTCTTTGGGTAAGTTTTGGTGTTTTATATATTTCATGGAATTGGTCCATTTCATCTAAGTTGGTGAATTTATGTGAATAAAGATGTTCGTGGCATTCTCTTATTCTCATTTTAATGTCGTTGGGGGTATATAGTAATATATCTTCCATTTCTTTTCTTTCTTTCTCTTTTTTTTTTTTTTTTTTTTTTTTGAGATGGAACTTGGCTCACTGCAACCTCCACCTCCCGAGTTCAAGAAATTCTCCTGCCTCAGCCTCCTGAGTAGCTGGGATTACAGGCCTGCACCACCATACCTGGCTCATTTCTTACCTATCACTTTAAACTGGAAATGGCACTGTTACTTGACACTGTCTCCCCTCCTACCTTCCAAGACCCCACACTTTCCTGGTTCTATTTCTACCATCTAATAGTTGTATTAGTCTGTTCTTGCATTGCTATAAAGAAATACCTGAGACTGGGTAATTTATAAAGAAAAGAGATTTAATTGGCTCATGGTTCTGCAGGCTCTACAAAAAGCATAATGGCTTCTGGGGAGGCCTCAGGAAACTTCCAATCCATAGCAGAAGGCAAAGAGGAAGAAATAACTTTTTTTTTTTTTTTTTTTAAACGGAGTTTCACTCTTGTCACCCAGGCTAGAGTGCAAGGGCATGATCTCAGCTCATTGCAACCTCCGCCTCCTGGGTTCAAGTGATTCGCGATTCTCCTGCCTCAGCCTCCTGAGTAGCTGGGATTGCTGGGATTACAGGTGTGCACCACCACGCCCCGCTAATTTTTGTATTTATAGTAGAAATGGGGTTTCACCATGTTGGCCAGGCTGGTCTCAAACTCCTGACCTCAGGTGATCCACCCACCTCAGTCTTCCAAAGTGCTGGGATTATAGGCGTGAGCCACCATGCCCGGCAGCATATCTTTGTGTGTGTGTGTGTGTGTGTGTGTGTGTGTGTGTGTAAGATAGGATCTCGCTCTGTCACACAGGCTGGAGTGCAGTGGTGTCATCTTGGCTCACTGCAGCGTCGACCTCCTGGGCTCAAGTGATCCTCCTGCCTCAGTCCCCCAAGTAGCTGGGATTATAGGCATGCACCACAATGCCCAGCTAATTTTTGTTTGTTTGTAGAGACAGGATTTCGCCATGTTGCCCAGTCTGCTCAAATTCCTGGGCTCAAGCTATCTGCCTGCTTCAGCCTCCCAAAGTGCTGGGATTACAGGCATGAGCCACTGTGCCCAGACAGCAGGCACATCTTACATGGCCAGAGCGGGAGGAATTGGGGCACAGGTGCCACACACTTTTAAACAACCAGATCTCATGAGAACTCACTATGGCGATGACAGCACCAAGGGAGGATGGTGTTAAACCATGAGAAACTACCCCCATAATCCAATCCCCTCCCACCAGGCCCCGCCTCCAACATTGGGGATTACAATTCAACATGAGATTTGGGTGAAGACGCAGATCCAAACCATATCAAGAATTTACTCTGCAACCTTCATAGCATATTGGTGCTCCCTCAAACTCTGTACTTGGTGCTTCTCTCAAACTGTGCTCTTTCTTAGCTATCCAATTTATTCTGGTGGTTTCAGCTGGTACTGAAATGATCTTACCCTCCCCAAACCTTGGCCTCTGCTAGCCTTCTCTCCTGAGCTCCAGCTGGACATCTCCGTCAGTATGTTCCATAAACACTCTAACATCAATCTCAATTTTTCTTCCATCAACTCATTGTCTATCCTGTTTTGCTAATGTCTATATATGGTTCCAGCCTCATCCCAGCTGTTCATGCAGTTATCCTGGGAGCAATACTGTCTCCCTTTCTCCCACAGAACAGCACTTCTGTATTGTTTATAAGTATAAATACATTTTGTTTGTTTGTTTTGAGACAGGGTCTCTCTGTCACCCAGGCTGGAGTGCAGTGGCACAATCTCAGCTCACTGCAGCCTCTACCTCCTGAGTTCAAGTGATTCTCTTGCCTCAGGCTCCTGAGTAGCTGGGACTGCAGGCACCCTCCACCATGCCCAGCTAATTTTTATTTTTTATTTTTTATTTTTAGTAGAGATGGGGTTTCACCATGTTGGCCAGGCTAGTCTGAACTCCTAACCTCAAGTGATCTGCCTGCCTTGGCCTCCCAAAGTGCTATGATCACAGATGTGAGCCACCATGCCCAGCCAGCTTCTTCTTCTTCTTCTTCTTCTTCTTTTTTTTTTTTTTTCAAGATGGAGTCTTGCTCTGTCACCCAAGCTGGAGTGCAGTGGTGTGATCTTGGCTCACTGCAACCTCCGCCTCCTGGGTTCAAGCGATTCTCCTGCCTCAGCCTCCTGAGTAACTGGGACTACAGATGTGCACCAGCAAGCCCAGCTAATTTTTGTATTTTTAGTAGAGATGGGGTTTCACCATGTTGGCCAGTCTGGTCTTGAACTTCTGACCTCAGGCGATCTGCCCAGCTTGGCCTCCCAAAGTGCTGGGATTACAGGCGTGAGCCACTGCGCCCAGACTGCTTCTTCATTTTTTAACCCAGCAACTTGCACATGTCCGGACACATAGTGTTTGTTTGTTTTTTTATTGGTTTTCCAGAAATATGCTTACTGAGGCACATAGTGTTAACTCAGGAGTGCAGTGGTCTTTTCTTCATGCATTAATAAATTAACACAGTAACAGAGCTGTTCTGGGTACCCCCCACCCCAAAAGTATATCAAGCAAGACACGAAATCAGGTATCCAGTGTAGCTCCTTTTAGTCGACTTTCAACAGGGCTCCACTGAGAAGATTAGTTCCTGCACATCTTTTTCATGCATCCCATTCTGATCACTGGAGATTGTTATTACAGGGGTCCGTGTCATTCGAGGACGTGGCTGTGGATTTCACCCGACAGGAGTGGCACAGACTGGACCCTGCTCAGAGGACCATGCACAAGGATGTGATGCTGGAGACCTACAGCAACCTGGCATCTGTGGGTGAGGATGATTGTCCATGTAACTCCTAGGAGCACGTGTTTCCTTTCTTGGTTGCTGTAACATATGCAGCCTTGTGAGGGTTTAATGATATTGAGAGTCACAGATGAGTAGTCAGTTTAGGGCACCGGGAAAAATGTGTGTGTTCTTACTTCCCCAATGAAAGCTTTAAATGGGCCCCCTTCCTTGTGCAGCTCATGAAGATGCACCTTCCTCCTCCATCAGAGGCCCTAGAGCTCAGACAACTTGGCCCACGTCCTGTGCCATTTCCCATTAACAGGCCTCTGCGTGGCCAAACCAGAGATGATTTTCAAGTTGGAGCGAGGAGAAGAGCTGTGGATATTAGAGGAGGAATCCTCAGGCCATCGTTACTCAGGTAAGTGGGCAAGAACTGGACATATGGAAAATAGGGGAAATAAGAGCCCGGAAATTCAGGTCAAAGGGTGCAACACTTTCTAGGAATCTCTTTTTAGAGGTCCTAGCTCTTTGAAAATAAGGACGGAAGGTCTACATGCTTCAGATACCAAAGTCACACATCTTAATATCACACTCAAACTTCAGTGCTTTCTCCTGTTTTATCTTGATTTTTTTTTTTTTTTTTGATGGAGTCTCACTCTGTCACCCAGACTGGAGTGCAGTGGTGTGATCTCAGCTCACCACAACCTCCGCCTCCTGGGCTCAAGCAATTCTCCTGCCTCAGCCTCCCGAGCAGCTGGGATTACAGGTGCATGCCACCACGCCTGGCTAATTTTTGTACTTTTAGTAGAGATAGGGTTTCACCATGTTGGCCAGGTTGGTCACAAACTCCTGACCTCAAGTGATCCACCTGCCTTGGCCTCTCAAAGTGCTGGGATTATAGGCGTGAGCCACCGCACCTGGCCTTTATCTTGATTTTTAAGTTATTTACCACTGTTATTTATCTCTGCCTCATCTTAAGCATTTATTCTTTTATTTTTTTGAGACAGAGTATCTCTCTGTTGCCCAGGCTGGAGTGCAACGGTGCAATCATGGTTCAACCTCAACTTAACACCTCAACTGCCCCGTTTTAAGTGACCTTTCCAAGGCAGCCTCCCTAGTAGCTGGGACTACAGGTGCACACCACCATGCCTGGCTGATTTTTGTATTATTATTATTATTATTTTTGTTGAGACAGAATCTCACTATGTTGGCCAGGCTGGTCTTGAACTCCTGGGCTCAAGTGATCCACCTGCCATGGCCTCTGGAAGTGCTAGGGTCAGAGGTATGAGCCACCACACCTGGCAACATTTATTCTTCCTTCCCTCCATTGCCTTGGATGCTTTCTGTTATCAGGCATTCGTTCATATATTCATTTAGTCATCCATGAAACTTTAAATGAGTATCAGTTATATGCTGGGTATGTTCTAGGTGTGGGAAACTGGTAGTGAATAAAATAATATCTCTGTTCTCTTGGAGATTACAATATAGTAGGGGAAAGTGACCAGAAACAAATAAATACATCATATGTTTGATGTTGAAAAGAAAATCAGTGCAAGGTAAGAAGGATAGATATTGATATGTGCTTTTAGGAAATAGAGGGTTTTTTTTGTTTGTTTGTTTGTATTTTTCAGATGGAGTCTCACGTCTGTCATCCAGGCTGGAGTGCAGTGGCACGATCTCGGCTCACTGTAACCTCCACCTCCTGGGTTCAAGTGATTCTCTTGCCTCAGCCTCCCAAGTAGCTGGGATTACAGGTGGGCACCATTATGGCCAGCTAATTTTTGTATTTTTAGTAGAGATGGAGTTTTGCCATGTTGGGCAGGCTGATCTCAAACTCCTGACCTCAAGTGATCCACCCACCTTGGCCTCCCAAAGTGCTGGGGTTACAGGCATGAGCCACTGTGCCCGGCTGGAATAGAGTTTTAAAGGTTGTGTTAAGGAGTTTAATTTTATACTGTGACAAGAGAAGCCAGTTTGGGATTTTACATAAATGAGTGACATGCTGTGATTTGTTTTTAAAGGATCTCTCTCACTGCTGTGTGGCAATGGTTCTGTTGGGGATAATGCCCTCAGACATGATAATGACTTTCTTCACCATCAGAAGATTCAAACATTGGATCAAAATGTTGAATATAATGGATGCGGGAAAGCCTTCCATGAGAAAACAGGCTTTGTTAGACGTAAAAGAACACCCACAGGAGATAAAAACTTTGAATGTCATGAATGTGGGAAAGCTTATTGCAGGAAATCAAACCTTGTTGAACATCTGAGAATACATACAGGAGAGAGACCCTATAAATGTGGTGAATGTGCAAAAACCTTCAGTGCAAGATCATACCTCATTGCTCATCAGAAAACTCACACAGGGGAGAGACCCTTTGAATGTAATGAATGTGGGAAATCTTTTGGCAGGAAGTCACAACTCATCCTACATACAAGAACACACACTGGAGAGAGACCCTATGAATGTACTGAATGTGGGAAAACCTTTTCTGAGAAGGCAACCCTCACAATTCATCAGCGAACTCACACAGGGGAGAAACCCTATGAATGTAGTGAATGTGGGAAAACATTTCGTGTAAAGATATCCCTTACCCAACACCACAGAACTCACACAGGGGAGAAACCTTATGAATGTGGGGAGTGTGGGAAAAACTTCCGTGCAAAGAAATCCCTAAATCAGCATCAAAGAATTCACACAGGTGAGAAACCCTATGAGTGTGGTGAATGTGGGAAATTCTTCCGAATGAAGATGACTCTCAATAATCATCAGAGAACTCACACAGGTGAAAAGCCCTATCAGTGTAATGAATGTGGGAAATCTTTCAGGGTGCACTCATCTCTTGGGATCCATCAGAGAATTCACACAGGAGAGAAACCTTATGAATGTAACGAGTGTGGTAATGCTTTCTATGTGAAAGCACGCCTAATTGAACATCAGAGGATGCATTCAGGAGAGAAACCCTATGAATGTAGTGAATGTGGGAAAATCTTCAGTATGAAGAAATCCCTCTGTCAACACCGGAGAACTCACACAGGAGAGAAACCTTATGAATGTAGTGAATGTGGAAATGCCTTCTATGTGAAAGTACGCCTCATTGAGCATCAGCGAATTCACACAGGAGAGAGACCCTTTGAGTGTCAAGAATGTGGGAAAGCTTTCTGCCGGAAAGCACATCTCACAGAACATCAGAGAACTCACATAGGCCGGTCCTGGCGTTATACAATGAAGAAAGCCTCTGTCTGAAGACTTCCCTCACCATTGGATCAAGTTCCTTGGGGCATATGATCACCAGGGCACACAGTGAGCCTGTGAAAATTTGGCACCTACATTTGTATCAAAATATGTCCTGATCCCCTTAGGGGATAGCTCATTGCTTTTATTCAGATTTCCCTAATTAGTGGTGTGTGAACATCTTATCTGTTGATTGGCTATTTGGGTTTTTTTTTCTGTGCATTGACTGTTCATGTCCTCTGCTCATTGTTTTCGAATGGGCTGTTCATCTCTTGCTTTTTGGTTTAAATGTTGTTGTTTTTTAACATATGAGAATATAAAAATCCTTTTTTTTTCCAGTCATGTGTGTTGCAAATATCTTCTCCCAGACTGTCATTGGTTTTTAAAATTTTGTCATCTGTTTTCTTCTGCTGAAGTTTTGTTTTATTTATTTATTTATTTATTTATTATTTTTTTTGAGATGGACTCTCACTCTGTGGCCCAGGCTGGAGTGCAATGGCATGACCTCAGCTCATTTCAACCTTTGCCTCCCGGGTTCAAGCATTTCTCCTGCCTCAGTCTCTTGAGTAGCTGGGATTACAGGTGTGCACCACCATGCCTGGCTGATTTTTGTATTTTTGGTAGAGATGGGGTTTCACCATGTTGGTCAGACTGGCCTCTAACTCCTGACCTCAGGTGATCCACTCACCTTGGCCTCTGAAAGTGTTGGGATTACAGGTGTGAGCCACCGTGCCCGGCTAAAGTTTTATGTTTTAATATTATCAGTTTCAAGATGATAATATTCTCCTATACTTTCCTCTAAAGGTTTTCCTTTCAACATTTAGAATTTCAATCTCCTGTGAGTTTTTTGGTATAGCATGAAGTGTGCAATACATACTACTATATTGTCTTTATATAATTTTACATAAATGGGATCACACTGTATTTAAAGTTCTGCAGCTTGCTTTTTTCATGTAATGTTACCTTTCCAAGATCTGTCCTTATTGATAAGTATAGGTCTGACTAGTCATTTATCTCTCCATTCCCGTAGTAAAAGACATTTGTATCTTTTTCAAGTTTAGTGTCTAAATCTAGAAGTGGAACTGATGGGTCATAGGATTTAGGCAATGTGCTGGTTATTAAGCTATTGTGTCCCAGCTCCAAACCCACCCTTCTTGACTGTGCTTTGTGACTCTACAAACTACATTTTGGCTTTGCCAACTGCTCCCTGTTGGGCCTTGCCAATAAGAGATACTAGATATACACTTTGGGGCTGGAGAGGGAAGAAGGGACTTGATCCTTTTTTTCTATTCCTATTAGCTCTTGGTCATTGGAGTGTCTGCTCAGCATTGCTTCTTCACTCAGACACCAGCAGTTCCTTGTCATAGCAGCGGTTTAATCTAGTTTGCAGCTTTCCAGCCCTCACAGATGGTAGCCCATCCCCTCTGAGACACAAGTATCAGCTGGCTGGTGTCACCTCCTTAGAGATGTGAATTCTAGCCACGTGGGACCCCTCCTCCATCTTTCTAAGTTTTAGTAATTTCAACTTATGGTTGGGTGTAGTGGATCGCGCCTATAATCTCAGCACTTTGGGAGGCCAAGGTGGGTGGATTGCTTGAGCCCAGGAGTCAAGACCAGCCTGGGAAATATGGTGAAACCCTATCTCTACAAAAAAATTCAAAAATCAGCTAGGCATGGGACCACACCTGTGGTCCCAGGTACTTGGGAGTCTGAGACTGGAGGTTGAAGCTGCAGTAAGCCATGATTGCGCCACTGCACTCCAGCTTGGGCAACAGAACAAGACCCTGTCTCCAAAAAAATTGTCAACTTCTTCCCTTTGTTATGCCAGCCCAGCTGTTTTCTGCAGTTGCTACCTCCCTGATAACTTTAATGTTCTCTTTTTGTCTCTTCACTTACTTGGTTTACAACCTCATAACTAGTTAAAGTTATTTATAAGTTCTCTCTGTTAAAATAACTAGTGTGGTTTTTGTCTTCTTGTTGGCTCTGATTGATACAGAAGGTTTTTTTTTTTAAACTTTATTAAGTATTGACATTTCCCTTCCAAATTGTATTAATTTATACTCCCATGAGCAGTTTGAGAAAGTTTTCATTTTGCCATTCAGCAGCACTTATTATCAGTCCTTTAAATTATTGCCAATCTGAAAGGTATGAAATGGCTTTGAGCCTTGGCTCCCATGAATGTGGTTTGTCTTTCTTTCTTTTGTTCTTTCCTTCTCTTCTCTTCTCTTCTCTTCTCTTCTCTTCTCTTCTCTTCTCCTCTTCTCTCTCTCTCTCTCTCTCTTCTTTTCTTTTCTTTTCTCTTTTTATTTTTTGAGACTGAGTTTCACTCTTGTTGCCCAGGCTGGAGTGCAATGGCGTGATCTTGGCTCACTGCAACCTCTGCCTCCCGGGATGGAACAATTCTCATGCCTCAGCCTCCCGAGTAGCTGGGATTACAGGCGCACATGACCACACCCAGCTAATTTTTGTACTTTTAGTAGAGACGGGGTTTCACCATGTTGGCCAGGCTGGTCTCAAACTCCTCACCTCAGGTGATCTGCCCGCCTCAGCCTCCCAAAGTGCTGGGATTACAGGTGTGAGCTACTGCACCTTGCCTATTTATTTATTTATTTGAGACAGAATCTCGCTCTATCACCCATGCTGGAACGCAGTTGTGCAATCTTGGCTCACTGCAACCTCTGCCTCCTGGTTCAAGTGATTCTCATACTTCAGCCTTCCGAGTAGCTGGGACTATAGGTGCACACAACCACGCCCACCTGATTTTTGTATTTTTAATAGAGATAGGGTTTTGCTGTGTTGGCCAGGCTGGTCTTGAACTCCTGACCTCAAGTGATCCGCCTGCCTCAGCTTCCCAAAGTGCTGGGATTGCAGGAGTGAGCCACTGCACCTGGCCTGTCTTTATTTATTTTTTAACTCATCTTTCCTACCCTTCAGTAGTATTTTATGGTTTTCTCCAAGAAATTGTCTATGAAAGTTAACTTTTTAATAGCAGCTTTGCATTTATACAGGTATACACACATATATTTCTAAATATAATGATGTGGGGTTTATATATATATACTTATATATAATATTTGTGTCTCTCTCACACACACACACATCTCCCTGCACAACATTTTTGTTTGATGTGGGCAGTTTTCATTTCATTTTACCCAAATATTTACCACCTTGATTGCACTTCATTACTTTCTGCGTTTCATCCAGGATCATTTTCTTCTGTGCCTGAAAGATACTCCAAAGAGTTTCCTTTAGTAAGAGTCTGTTAGTGGTGAGCCTCTCAGTTTTGTCTTAAAATGTTTTTCATTGTACCTTTTGTCGGTGACTGGGGCCGGCATCGCGGGTGGTAAAAGATTTACCAAGACAGTCATGAATTAAAGAAACCAAGTCTATTAGAGGGAAAGTAGGTTGCAAGGAGGCAATGGGCAGCACAGCAGAGAAAGGGGCTGTCTGCAAAGAGGCAAGAGCTGGAGGGAAGTTGTATAGGGTTGTGCTGGAGGGGCTATGTGAAGAATGAGTTTGTGCTGCTGGGGCTTTGCACAGAACAAGGTATTTGGGAACAGGTTGTTGTGCCAGCAGGTTGTTTGCAATTAGATTAGTCATCTCTCAAAACAATGGTTCTTCCCCACCTTCTTGCTTATTTATCTTATTGGGACTCTATACCTTTTTGATAAGTAAAAGTGAATCCTTTACCTTAAATATTTGGTAGCACTGCACTATGTCACAGTAAGTTGATAAAAAATTAAGTACTTGACTGGGTACAGTGGCTCACACCTGTAATCCCAGCACTTTGGGAGGCCGAGGCGGGTGGATCACTTGTGGTCAGGAGTTCGAGACCAGCCTGGCCAACATGGCAAAACCCCGTCTCTAGTAAAAATTAGCTGGGTTTGGTGGTGCATGCCTGTAATCCCGGCTACTCGGGAGGCTGAGGCAGGAGAATCACTTGAACCCAGGAGGCAGAGGTTGCAGTGAGCTGGGATGGTTCCACTGCACTCCAACCTGGGCGACAGAGCAAGACTCCATCTCAAAAAAAAAAAAAAAAAATTTTAAATTAAGTACTTTTTTGCTTTTTTCCTGAGTATCCTTTAATGATTATCGTGACCCAAGGTATTTGAATTACTCATCAGCTACCCCACAATACAGCATATATTTGAATATATATAAAATATATTTTTTGTGTTTTCTGTGCAGTATGCCCTCACTCTATTAAGTATTAATTAACTATATCAAGATGCCATTTCATCAATACTTCCGATCTTTAGCTCACTGCTTCTCCCCCCCTTTTTTTTCTCTTTGAGATGGAGTTTTGCTCTTGTTGCCCAGGTTGGAGGTGCAATGGCATGATCTCTGCTCACTGCAACCTCTGCCTCCCGGGTTCAAGTGATTTTCCTGTCTCAGCCTCCTGAGTAGCTGGGATTACAGGCATGCACCACCACACCCAACTAATTTTTTGTCTTTTAAGTAGAGACAGAGTTTCACCATGTTGGTCAGGCTGATCTTGAACTCCTGACCTCAGATGATCTGCCCACATTGGCCTCCCAAAGTGCTGGGATTATAGGTGTGAGCCACTGCGCCTGGTTGATGTTTTTAAATTTTTATTATGGAATATGCCAAACATAAATAAAGATAATTTATAGTGACACAAAACAGAACAGTTGTTGCCTCTGGAGTGAAAATTGACTTGTAAGGGATAGGAGGGAACTTACTGGGGTGATGGAGATACTCCATATCTTCATTGGAGTGTGAATACAATAGTCATCAAGTGGGTAAACTTAAGGTTTATTTATTTTATTGTATATAAATTATATCTCAATTGAAATGTGAAAACAAAGCAATAAAACATCCCCTGTTCCCATTTCAGGAGTCATGTCTGGGCTGCCTGGGAGGAAAACAGAAATACTGATTGCTAGAGCAAATAAAAGACTCTTGGCAGTGGGCGACTTGGTCCTCCTAAGGCTTTAGAAATTGTTTTGCCCCATGAAAATGACATGTTCTGAGGCCCCAGTCTGGGGTATACTGACTTTCATCAGCTACTGTCGCCATCTGTGGTGCTCCCTCACTTGCCAACACTGCACTGTAGATTTGACTCCCAAGAGCCTAAGGATAGTCTCTGCCAATCCTCCAGTAGCCACCATCATAGTAGTTTTTACCCCCATGAGTCAGCAGTCCAGTGTCTACTAACCCCTCCATTAATTCAGAGCAGTTCTTACCACCCCTTTAAGCCAGAGCACGATGTCTGATCACCCACCATTAGCTCACATCATGTCTTATCACCAACCTTCACCCTCAGCTTAGTGTCTGATGATCTTCCATTAAGTCAGTATCATGTCTTACTTCCCTCCTTTAGACTTAGCATGATGACAGC